GTAGAATTATATTTTTATAATTATTAGAATTAGTTAGTTAATAAAATAATAGATAATATTATTTTATCTTTATAAATAATAATATAAAGAAGATTTATAAAAAGATTATTTCTAACTAAATTATTATAATTAATAATAATATTAATAATAAACTTATTTATTTTTAAATATTCTCCTTTTAAATATTATAAGAAAGTATAAAGGGTAAATTTAAAATTAAAACCACTTATTTTAATAAATTTAAAAATTTTCTTAATAAATATTAATTAATTTTTATTATTAATATTAATAATATTGGCTTATAGTAAATATATAAAATATATTTTCTAATACTTATATATAATCTAATAAAATTTTTTTTTTTTAGACTCTTAATATCTAACTAATAATATTAATAATAGAGAAATAATATTTTTATAATTATTAGAATTAGTTAGCTAATAAAACTATAAGTAATATTAGTTTTATCTTTATAAATAATAATTTAAAGAAAATTTATAAAAAAATTATTTCTAATTAAATTACTACTTTTATTTATATTAATAATATTATTTTTATTAATATATATATTCTTATTAATAATACATATATAGAATTTAATAAAACTTCTTTCTTCTAAATTTTTAATATCTCTATTAAAATTACTTATAGAATTATAGAAATTATAACTAAACTATATTTTATTAAGACTAAAATTAAAGTTAGCTTATTTAAAATTATACTACTAAATATATTAAATATCTCTCTTTTTATATATAGTATAATTATTACTTAAATTTATTATACTAAGTAGACCTTTAACTTAAGTATACTAGATATTAAAGAGGATTATTTACTTAATATATTCTAGAGTATAGTTAATAATATTACTTATATTTTTTTAACTACTAATATCTCCACTATACCCAGTATTATCTACTCTCTTATTAATACTTATAAGAAGTATATTATTATTCGTATTAAGACTAAATATAGTTAAAAGTCTATTAAAGAGCTTAAGAATTATATTACTAATTTTAATACTTATATTAGTACTAGTTCTACTATAACTAAGTTTAAGAAAGATAAATTTAAGGCGGAGGCTAAAATTAAAAAGGCAGAAGAGAATAATAAGGGTAGTAAATATTTAATTTAATAATAGTTAGATTTCCTCTTTTATATATATTAATAATATAACCAAGGCTAATTATTTTAATAAACTTAAGAGCCTTCTTAATAAATATTAATTTATTTTAATTATTAGTATTAATAATATTAACTAAGGCTACTTATTTTAATAAATTTAAAAATTTTTTTAATAAGTATTAGTTTATTTTGATTATTAATATTAATAATATTAGCCAAGACTACTTATTTTAATAAGCTTAAAAGCCTTTTTAATAAGTATTAATTTATTTTAGCTATTAATATCAATAATATTAATATTAGTTCTACTATAATTAAGTCCAAGAAAGATAAATTAGAGAGGAGGAAGAAGAGAGTAATAAAGGTAATAAGTATTTAATCTAATAATAGTTAGATTTTCTATCTTATATATATTAATGATATCTACTAATAGTAAAAATATAAAATTTATATTATTCTATATAGAATTCTATATTTTAAATATAAATCTAACTATTATAAAATTAGTTTCTATAAGTAAGGTTTTACTAATTATATTTAGACTAGTTTATATCCTCTTCTTAATATATAAGGGGGGGAGTTAGAGATTAAATTTTTAAAAATTTTCCCCTAAGGGGGAGGGGTCGGGGGTATTAATACCCCCCTTTAGGGGGCTAAGAGGGGGGGGGATAAAAACTCTCCCTTTATTCTATTAGAGTGGAGGTATAAGTCTAGATTTATATTTATAAAATATTATACTAATAATAATATAATTATATATTAATACTTCTAAAATTTATATTATTAATATATAATATTTTATTATAGTAATTAGATAATTATAAAATACTTCCACTACTACTAGTTATAAAATACTAATTTTATATTTATAATTATGGGATTCAATAAAATAAAATTTTAAACTTTTAATTATTTAATATTATAAGTATCTCTATATATAATTAAGTATTTACTACTAGATATTATTTACTAATTAGATAACTAATATCTAGTAGCGAGCGTAGCTCGCCGCTCAAACTTTCTTATATATTAATATTTTGGCTAAGTACAGCGATCATGGTTGAGAGATCAATTATTGAGAAGGCTCTGCGCATGCTCAGGCACTCAGGGGTTTCCCGAGGCTCGGCGCAAGGGGAAAGCTTCACATGAAATGATCCCCAGCCCCCCCAGACTCTGGAGTAGAAATGGGGAACATAGTTAATGTCCTTAGCTAAGAACAAACGCATATGTAAAGAAAATAATGGCCTATGGGTAAAAGGAAGAGCTTATAGGGAGTTAAGGGGAGAAATCGGGCGTCGGGGGAGTATAGACTCAGGGGGAAGCAGGCTTAAGGGGAGAGAGATCTGCTTACATAAGCGAGAAAGGGTTGCTGGTCGTTATTTATAAGATAATATATATTTTGATTGAGCAGTTAATTATGTTCATTTTCTCATGGCTGGGACAGCAACATGCTGTCAAATAAAGAGGAATATGGGGAATATTTCGTGATGGACAAAGAACGGAAAAACTACGTCGAAAAGGCCGGTAGAGAATGATCCATTTGAACAGGCTGGAAGGTAAAAAAAAAAAGGCAGTCAACATTGTGTTGAGTTAGGCATAGCGACAAGCTAGAGGTTGCCGTTGACGGGGCCATCGTCGAGCTCGCAAAAAGCCTTGAAGGTGGTCAAGTCCTTGCCGTCGACGGTGCTCTCGATGACACACTCGGCCGTAGCACCAACAAAAAAGACATGACCTTCCTTCATGTCAAAGCTCTTGGCTGGACCGACGCTGATCTTGCCCTCGCCGGCGGTGCAGATGATGATGCTGGGCCCGTTGATGGGCTCAAAGGTTGCTTTAGCACCGGCAGACTTGAGATCGGTCTTGACGACACTGAACTCCTCGATTGGAGGGTCGTACAGCGAGGCCGACGATGCGCTTGAGTAGGCTATTGTGTTCATCTTCATGTACGGGTACTCGGTGGGGGTCATCTTTTGCTCCTCGATGGGTGCATAGGAATAAGTGAGCATGCTGGTTAGGGTAGACACGTCTTTGAACTTGGGTGTGAAGCCGGCTCGGACGACGTTATCGGATGAAGCCATGCACTCGACGATGTCTCCGCTGATGTAGGCGTGGATGTCGTCTGCCTTGAGGAACATGGCCTCTCCGGGTTCAAGCTTGATGAAGTTGAGGAAGAAGAGGACGAAGAGGCCGATGTCGTTGGGGAACTGGCCGTTTAGCCGGACGACCAGCTGAGCGAGTTCTGAGGGGTTGGCTGGGTTAGTATCTGGGGAGGAGGAAGAGGTAGCAAAGCTGTCTGGCGAGCTCTCTGCGGCACTGATGAGTTTCTGGGTAGCGCTGGTGATGGACTCTGGCGACGACTGCATCAGCTTGGTGAAGACCTCTCTGAGGGCAGCCTTGTTCTTCTGCGTGGCCTCCTCATCCTGAGTCGTCTCCTGGCCGCTGACGGTCTTCTCGAAGGCCTCTGCTGCCTCGTTGCCAACCAGGTCTCGCAGTGGCTCGACAGCTCGTAGAAAGTGGACGATCTCAGCGAGCGGACGGAAGCCACAGAGACCCTCAAAGGGAGTCACTGCAATAGTCATCTCTGGCTTGTGGTTGTCATCTGTATAACGTTTTAGTAGAGTGTTTACTCCCACGGTCCCGGATGAAGCCTGTTGTTGAATACCTGGGTAGTTCTTCGAGTCTTTGGCATGCAAAGTCTCCGCCAGCTTCTTGTTCGGATGGGCCTGGATGCTGAGCGCCTTGCCGATAGACAGAATCTTGAAGAGAAAGGGCAGCTTTCCACCGTATCGAGAGACTATCTCCGTCGACATGAGGGCCTTGTTCGTCTGTACCAGGTCGAGCAGTGTCCTCTGGGTCTCGAAATCCTTGGACGGCAGGGAAGGGTGTGTTCCCATCCACAGCTACACATATTGTCAGTATCATTATAACAGTGTTTATCATTAATGATAATAATAATAATAATAGAAACAACGGTTCTACCTCAGCGTATGGCTTGTCTGCTTCCACCGAGAAGCCATCTATGGGCGTGGCAGCTGCATACCTGGCCGCCGCGGACTCGGAGCCAACCTTGCCTGTCAACAGTCGAGATATCAGCAATTGGCCATGCCCAGAGCCCCCGTCGAAGCACCCATGAGGCTGCCTGCAACAGGGCAAAGACGGCGAGCAGGGCAAAACAGGGCATGCTCACCCCAGTCGTAGCTGTTGACTCCTGTAGACACCAGTTAGCAGGCGCTTTCCCAGCAGCAGCAGCAGCAGCAACGCAGGGACGAGCTCACCACACTGGAGACGGAAGAGAGGGACCTGCATGTCTACAGCGCAGCGAGACCGTCTCAGAGGGATGCAATATCGACGAAGAAGAAGAAGTAGGGGAAGAGGAAGACGTTGAAGAAGCGCAAGTCTGACTGTCAACAACAAGCTACATCATCGCCGAGGGGCAAGCAAGCGGCTAAAGATGGAGCCAGGCGCGGGCAGACTCCAGCCACAGGCGGCTGGCGCAGCGCCACAGCAGCGACTCCTGCAGCGACTCCGGCCGCAGCGCCAGGAGCTCCGGCGCCAGCTCCAGCAGCAGCAGCAGCAGCCAGCGGAGGAAACCCAGGATAGCCAGCAGACAGCGACCGGGCCAGCCACTGTCATCGATTTGGTGGCGCAGGACGAGCGGACCCGCGGGACGGCCGGTGACGCTGATGGCATCCATGGTTCAGTGTCAGACGCAGCAGCAGCATCAGCAGACGACAGCGACAGCGACAGCGACAGTGACGGCGACAGCGACGACGACGACTACGACTACGACTACGAAGAGGAAGAAGAAGAAGAAGAGCCAATAAGGGCGGCATCGGCAGCGACACCACGCTCGTTGCGGCATAAGAAGACAGGGAGCAGCAGTTGTAACGTCAGAAGCACCCGCAGCCGGCCGCTGACCATCCACACATCATACGCCTGGGAAGCATTGGATATTCAGCAGCAGCGCAACGAACGGGTCGTCGTCAACATGTCTCGCAACCGTCCGCGCGGGCCTGCGACGAGAGAGAACGGGCTGGCGGCCGACGAGGAGGTCGAGATGTGGAATAAGATCTGTCAGGATATCCGAAAGGCCGCTGAGAAGAACGAGAAGCAGCGGGCGATAGGCCTGCAGATTGCCGCCCTCAACGAGAAGATTGCAAGGAACGGCAACAGTACGTTTGTTTTTATTATTTATTATTTTTTATTTTTAATTTTCTGACCTGCTTGCTACGGGTTGCTAATATCGAGGTAGAACCATCGCTGGGGGATATAGACCAGCTGGACAGCCTTCACCGGCAGCAGCTGAAGCTGAGCGCAGAGGAGAGGGCCATCCTGCAGGACGAGCCCGCGGACGTTACCAAGAACCTGGGCATCCTGATAGCCCTCCGCTCGGCGTCAGAGGCGGCGGACCCCCAGAGCCGGTCTCTCTCGCAGAACAAGTCTCGCAAGCGGAAGGGGGACGTCGACCTGGCGTCGACCGATTCCCCGGCGCCATCGTCTTCGGGCGTCTCGTCTGACAAGCTGAACCGGATCAAGGGGGGTGCCCAACGCAGCACTAGCGTGTCTAGCAGCCACCGCGGTGACACTGCTTCACTCGACAACGGCGTGGAGGGAGGCCGTCCGTCAGAGAAGGCGGATCAGCTTGTCATCGGCGCGGAAGTTGTCTTCAAGCACAACAAGAAGCAGCAGGGCGTCGAGGGCGAGGGCATCCAGTGCATCATCAAGAACATCACCGGCGAAGGGAACAAACGACGGTATGCTTGGCACTCTGGAATTCCTGCCCTTCCTTTTTTAAGTTAGATCTTCTCTGTTGACAGAGTTACTCGCAGGTATGATGTGCAAGACCCAGAACCGATCGAGAACGGTGAGGAGGGAGCCATCTATAAGACCACCGCAGCCTCGCTGATCCACATCCCCAAGGCTGGCTCTCCGCTCCCCCAGTTCCAGATCGGCAAACAGGTCCTGGCCAGGTATCCAGACACCACAACCTTCTATCGGGCCGAAGTCATGGGCCTGAAGAAGGAGGTCTACCGCCTCAAGTTCGAGGGCGAGGAGGACGACAAGGAGATGGAAGTCGACCGCCGCTACGTCCTGGACATTCCCAGCAAGTGAACCCCCTCCCTTTTTCGTCTCGTCTATCCGTCTGCTATCTTTAATTTTCCATCTCTATCTCTCTACATTTCTATCTTTATGGTCTTCGTCCCATTTGGAGTTTGCAGGAGCCATGGCCGCTTCTTCCCTTTTGTCTTTTATCTTATGTCTTTCCCTGCAGGAGTTGGGCCCAGATCTCATGCATGCCTTACCTATCATCTACCACTTCTGGACATACTACCGTGTATTATATCTACCAAACAAAAAGCCATTCCTCATGCTCATCCTTCTTTTCTCTTCGCCTCATCACCCCTAATAATCAATGGCCTTAGCAAAAGCTTTGATATCGACGCTTTTTGGCTCTTTCTTGGCAACTCTTGGCATATGGAAACTTTTTTTGTATGACTAAGCATCCGGCTGCCGAGGTTTGCTTTTTACGCCCGAAAGGAGCGAGCGAGCGAGATAGAAACATCCAACCCGCAAGCTGCAGAACGGCGGTGTTTTAAAAAGGATAAAGAGCGGACGACAAGACGGGAGAGAGAGCGAGAGCGAGAGAGACGCAGAAAAGCATTCGATTTTTTTTTCCCATTGCCAGTCAGAGTCTTCTATGAGCCGACGTCGTGATGCCTTCGCCATCCGCCCACGCCTCGCCCTTTATCGCCCCGCGGCCCTTCCACCCTCACGTCACCGAGTTTCCCCTGACACAAGACACAGCTATACCCTTACCGTCGTCGTCCTTCGCGGGAGGCAGCAGCAGCAGCACCGGTAGCAGGAATATTGATGCCGATGGCTACACCACTCCCAATTCTGCCTCAACTCCAGCCTTGCTGCCGTCTATAATATCTCCCGCCCTATCCCCTACCTCTACTCTGACCTCCACTCCGGATGTCACCAGCGCCAGCCCCGGTAGCAGCAATGCGTACCCTGCCATTATAACTCCACGGGCCAACCTAGAGGACCAACACACACTCTCTAAACCTCCCAGACTACTCCAACATCTGCCAAAGGTTGAATGCATTGTGCGTGCCCGTATACCCACAACCTCCGGCGCGGAGATGTTTCTACATCTGTACCAGAACGATGCCGATAATAAAGAACATCTTGCTATTGTGTTCGGCAACTCAATTCGCAGCCGGAGCCTGGATAGAGTCCGAGAAGGTGAGACGGAGATGGATCGCATGATCAGGGGTGCATACGTGGGTAGACTGCGGCCAGGACGCCAGAGCAGTCGGTATGACGAGGCTATTCCGGCAAATGATACCCAGTCTCCGAAGAACACCTCCGTGCAGGGCCCCTCACAAGCTCCGCTGGTCAGAATACATTCGGAATGCTACACGGGTGAAACAGCATGGTCTGCTCGATGTGATTGTGGCGAGCAGCTAGATGAAGCTGCTCGCCTCATGTCCGAACCCGATACATTTGCATCCGGTGAAGATACGAACGTCTCAGGACCTGGTGGTGTGATCGTCTACCTGCGTCAGGAAGGTCGTGGGATTGGCCTTGGTGAGAAGCTCAAGGCATACAATCTGCAAGACCTCGGTTCAGATACCGTCGAAGCCAACCTACTCCTTCGCCACCCCGCAGATGCGCGCAGCTATGGCCTAGCAACTGCAATCCTAGTTGATTTGGGATTAGGACAGGACTCGTCCAATGGCGGCATACGACTATTGACGAATAACCCTGATAAAGTGGCTGCTATTGAGGGGCCGAATAGGGAGGTTATCGTTCAAGAGAGGGTGCCGATGGTACCGCTTGCGTGGAAAACAGGCGGTGCCAGGGGTATCAAAAGTGTTGAGATCGAGGGATATCTTCGAACCAAGGTCCGTCAAAATTTCTCGACTGATTCCAGCCTCCTGTATCTCAATGCGCTACTAACATAATGTACATAGATCGGGAAGATGGGCCACATGCTTGAATAGGCCGATGCCCCCCCTTAACCCCCTGAGCACCGTCTCATGGCAAAATCCACAAAATGCGCATTTCTATTTATGCCACTTATACTTTCAGGACCCATCTCCCTAGCATCTTTTTACATTTACAGCGAGTCTTCTTTTACTATTTTGCACGTGTTAATGAGCCTCTAAACTTGCTTGCTGTTTCAGCCTGTTTTTCTTTTATCAACAAGCTAGTTATATGTTACATGACCGGGAGGAACCTTTCAACCCACCCACATCTGACGGTAGCTGGGCACGGCCCGAACGAACGAACGATCGTTAGCCACTTATAGCCTTAATGATACCTTCTTTTTGCCCGATAGAAAGATGTCTTTTCTTTTTCACAATGACCCCCTGCCACACCTCCCTTAAGTGATTCCACTGTCCGACTATTAATAGCCGGTATTTATCTAGGATTACAGTATCCTTGTCCTGGCAAAATGGGGAAGCTGGGTCATATTACTCAGTGTTAATTCTCCGATCACCAAACTCAGCTTATTTGTTTACCTTTCGAACCCTGACAATTGGTCCGACAAACTAATTAGTTATTTATGCAGTGCTACTAACATGATCCTCCCATCCGTACGAAGCCTTGTATAAAGCCTCGCATTTCTTCGCTTCCTCTGAAGGTGAACTTTGCCCCTTGGCGAAATCTGCCAAAGGTCCTCAGACACACCCGTCATCTTCTCAAAGGATCTAGGTATACCTGATCTTGATTTCCGGACAAGCGTTTAAATATGGGGATAAATGTCTAGATCTATGCTTTTCAATCTTTATATTTATCTTAAGTATATTTGGAATCCAGGCTAATTATCGCTAATACGAATCTTGGAGTTGGCAGACTCTATAATTTACTATATTATTACTACGATAACAGTTCTAGACCTGCCTACTTCCCTCTGGTTTAACACGACTCGTGTGGGCTCATGATCAGGTCACTATTCCAGATATCTATACGTCCAACCACTACAGCTACATACATGATCATGTTAACGTTGGCATGTGTCGACGGCTCTCTCCTTTCTTCCGTTTAAAAAATCCGAATACTGATTCCAGTCTATATTTGAGCGATGTCTAGAAGATACCAAGGCAAACAGCCACCATCTAGTCTAAGACATGAACAGGAAATCACTTTCTCCCCTTTGCAAAGAAGAGAGTCTTCTTCCCGCCCCAGGCCTCGGGAACGGTCATCTCCTCTTTCATCACCGTATACTCGCTCTCCTTGCAGCCTGCATTCTTGAAAAACTCATGCATCTCCTTCTCGGTAAACCCACTATGAGACACCGTGTGCGCGGCAGGATGATTAATGTCCGCGGGATGAACGTCCTTTCCTGTCTTCTCCCAATCGGCAACAACAACAATACCGCCTGGTCTAAGACGTTCAGTGAACCTATTAATCAGCTTCTGCGGGTCATCGATGTGATGCAGCGCGTGGACGATGATGATAAGGTCGAAGTTGAAGAATTCCTCTCCAGCAATGGAGGGTGTGCCTTCGGCTTCAGTCAGATTTCCCTTAACAGCGTATATCTGAGTCTCTGGCAGTTTCTCCTGGCGAGCTGTCTGGTTGAACTTGTCAACCATGCCTGCGGCCTCGTCGACACCGATACATTTGGAGAAATAAGGGGTGAAGAACTGTGCGTTGGTTAGTTGAGATAATAGATGAGCACTTGAAGAGCAGCTATTGCTTACCCGTGAGATATATCCTTCACCGCACGCATAGTCCATCATTTTACCTTTCAACTGACCATCAGTTGGGGGATGGGCATCGAACCAGGCCAGGTTCTCCTGGAGGTGCTCGCGGATCTTCTTTTGGCAGGAGATGACCCATTCGGTATTGAACACAGTCGAAGCAGCGGAACTAAAGATTTCTCAGTGTCCTAGCATCAGCTAGTAGAGGGATAATGGGGCCGTACCTCCAGTATTCTCCATTGACCTGGGTATGGCTGGGGCCATGCCCGTGGCCGTGGTGATGATGGTGATGGTGATGGTGATGGTCTCTACTCATGATTGATGGCTCAGGTAATGTTGATAAGGGATGAATACCAGGTATTCAATGCTCTGTGAGGAGGGTAACTGTTTGGCTAGGGGATGTCTGATGTCTTGAGAAAAGTCCAGGGCACAGCGATGCTCCAAGGTCCTTTTATACCCCAGACTCATCCCTTTCACCATCCGTCAATAACCCCGGAGACATTTTCAAATTGTCTCCGAGCACTATTTTTAATTCTCTTGGGTGTTTTATTCTCGACCGGATGGCTTAGATTATGGGGCTTTTGAGCACATAAAGTGCGGCTCCAACCTTGTGTACCTGCCCCTTAGAGGCTAAAAATCACCCACAACTGACGCCAACTCTCCCCATGAGCTGACTCGTGTAAGCACAATAATATCTCTGGGTAATGAGACATTCGCAGCACTATTGTATACGTTGCGGCCTCTCAGTTTCTGTCGAACATTTTGGGTATTATGGCGTTTAGTTATGCCCTCAAGGTGCCTCGAAACCAAATTCGTTGTCTGACATCATCAAAGACCGGGATGCAAGGGGCTGCATAACGCTCCGAAAAAGTCTCCGCGGTGTGCATATTGATCACCCTGAGCTCCGCCAACAGGGTGCGGTTAATGTATCATGAAATGCAATCAGTAGAGGACCGAATATCATATCACATCGATGCACTGTGTACGTCCATCATGGTCACCTAGACGTTGTCACAGTGCTGCTTGTTCGTGACCGTGAAGAAGACTGCCAAGTCCCAAGATTGATTAGATTAGATAAAATAGACGCCAAGCCAGGGCGCACCTTATATAATCAGCACGTGATATGGCTTGCCGTTTCTTTTTTTGGTGACAGCCGATAAAAAGAGCGATAACCCCGGCCCTTGTGTAAGTACTCCGGAGATGGATGCCAACGCGGACACGAAGGAGAAATTCTGCACCTTCGCTCAAGGTAGCTAACTAACAGTCCACTTAGGCGGAGGAACTGACGGCGGAACAGATGGAAGCCTCACCCGCTGCCCCAACAAATGCGGCGGATCGGACCTCCCGCGTCAACATGTTCCGGAAGAATGGCAAGCCGACGTCGTGTGAGCCATGCCGAATTTCAAAAGTCAGATGTGACCATGTAATGCCCATCTGTCAGCGGTGCGTGAAGAAAGGGATATCTGAAAAGGTACTCCGGAATATGTCTGGGATTTTTTTTTTCTTTTTTTTTTTTAGCGGATTACTCCTTGATATTAACTGGATCGCTAGTGCTACTACCATGAGGCCCCTTTGACTCGGGTTAAGGACCGGAATCGAGTCACCAAGCCACAAACCTCTAGTGTTGTTAGGGCATCTGTCTCGGGGCGGCGTAGCTCTGATGTCGATAATATCCTTGTCAAATACCCAGCTTCCTCAGAGGAGAAAGCAGATGGTGGGACCACCATTCAGAATGCCTACCTCGGCTCAACCAGCTTTCTCTCCGTCTTTCAGGACACTCCATCTGGATTCTCCAGCTGCTCTGTCCTCTCGCCACAAGTAGATCTAGGACAATGGGGCTATGATGCAGCATATACGGAAATCAATCTGGCTCGACTGCTTTCCGCCTTCGAACTTTACGAGAAGCTGATTATTTCTTTCTACGAAAGATGCAACCTCACTATTATTCCAATGCAGCTCATTATTGCTCCTATAAGGGCCACTAGGGCCTACTTTGATGCTGGTGGGTGGCTTCAAAAGTCACGGCAGCGTGAACTGTACGCGAAGATAACTCAGAACACGGCTCGTCCACTGCAAGTCACCGGTACTCCATCGCTGGAAGGCTTTTGTTCTCTGTTCTCTGGAGAGAACATACGATGGGAGTTTGTTGGAGTAATGTTTTCCTTAGCTGGGCTGAGCGCTATTTCCGACCATCTTCTTACGGCAACACCTTACCCTCCTGAGGACGAAGTTCCCAACAGAGAAGCGTTTGCAAAGGAGATGGCTGCTGCATGTAATAGCTGTTCGCAACTATGCAAACGCTATGACAACTGCAACGACATAATGGTTTGGCTACAGTACACTTATGCAATGCTATCGTCAGATGTCCTGGGAGAAACGAGTAATTATATTCCCTTCATACTAACACCCCCCCCCCCCCCCAACATTTTTACCTGAGAATCGTTTACTGAGCAGTTAGGCCACCATGTATACGCAGTTCTAGGCGACCTGGTCACCGATATATATGGGATGGGTCTTCATCGTCACAAAAACCCAGATTCGGACGTACCTTTTTTCCTTTCAGAAGTTCGAAAGAGACTGGTTGCAGCAACATATCGAACAGATAAGAATATAGCCACATTTTTAGGGCGGCCCCCACGCCTTCCATATCACTATTGTGATGCATCCCTTCCTCTCGACATTGATGATGACGAGCTTTTTCTTCAAGGCGATGAGCTTGACAGGGTTTTACAGAAACTTACGCACGACGGCTGGGGCTCTGAAGGAACGTCAAACGGTAAAATACGCCCAGTAACCGCCATCAGGATGCGTTATTTCTCCTCAATCTTTCGGGAGAAAGTATTGAGGCTGTCTCTTGGTCGAAAAGGGGCCAATTTCTCTCATGACCTGCAGTAAGCCGTCTGCCTAGCGTCATGTTTATTTCCAGAGTGATAATAGGTTTAACATGCAGCTATTTAGGGAAACGTACCAAGAGTGCAAGCGGATGTTGGATGGGGTTCCCGGTTGGTTCCACTATCGAACCAACTGCTGGGAAACGCTTGACTCGGTTACGTGCATTGTAAGCCTTGTGATTTACCTTGAGTGCATACATACAATGTTTCAGATTGAACGCATACGCTGTCGAGAAAAGCAGGGCTCAATAAGGGACCTTCTTGACAGCTCGATGCAAGCCGTTTCTGCTGTGATAGACTTCACTAAACAGGGGGAGAAGAAGGGTAACAAAGTTTGGAAAGACTTTGCTTGGGTGGTAAGTTCATCTAATCATCCAGGTTACCCACGGCTGTATAGAATGTAAAGGGGGATGTTAATATATAGGAACCTTGCGAATAGTTTCTACTCTATGCTCTGCCGACGGCGGGTGTCCTCGCAATTGAGCTGCATCGATGCACGGTCACCGAGACCCCTTTGTCATCTAGCGCACCCCGGTCAGAAGTCGTTCGCAACCTTAGCATGATAGTTTCATGGTTCGAATGTACTGACCTGCCAGTTAATGCCACTCATAACACTTGTGTGGAGGTTAGTAAAGCTATCAATAAGCTTCTAGACGATACTCTCAACTATCAGCCTGGTGCTTGTCAGCGACGAATAGGAGCTCGGCAGGAAGTCACTGAACTAGCTGTCCCATCTGAGATCCCGCAAACTACGACCAGTGCTACCCCAGGAGGAGACGCCGATACCGCGGTGAAAAATACTAAGCCCTACGACTTGGGGGCTCCAGTGTTACAACCTGAGCCGTTTGGCAATGATTTGACCAATGGCATCTCTATTGGAACTGGCGAAAGCTTTCTCACCTGGCTTGATGAGCTTGGGATGGATACGTCCATCCCTGAATTTCTTCTATGAACGCACTGGCATAATTACAAGTCGTGTCTCGCAAAGTCACCCCTGCTAACGCATCCGGTATCACTTTTCTAGCGCCATCACTAGACCTGAAGCAAGCCCCTCCTTTCTCGAGAAAGGCTTGTGGTTTTAAATTTTTTTTTTTTCTCCCCCTTCTTGAGGCTGACGGTAGAGCGAATTTTGAGTTGTACAGCTCAGACTCTGGACCGGGCTGCGAGATGGGATAACGAAGCCTGATGGCCGTACGGAGTGTGCTAACGACAAATCGGGAAACGGGTAGCCATCAAAGACACATTGAAGAGTTGTCTTGCTGGCCAATAACAATAATATATGCCCGACGTACCAACACTGCAGGACAAGGTCGACATGCCGCCTGCAACAGCTAAGCACTTGAGCCAGAGATAGGGATCAACGGCTGGACCTGGGGACCTTATTCGTTGTTTCCGGGGTGTCCCTATCCGAATGGCTTGTGCTATTATTGCTTTGGGGGTAGTATCACGCTCGTTCCTTTTTTATACGGAGTCTATCTTCGACCTTTCTGGCTTTGCGAGTCTTCAGGCTTCTGACGCGACACAACTCTGGAATCAAACTCAGCCATCACCATGCTGATCCAGTTGTTCGAATTTTGGCTTGAACCGGCTTTTCTTCCAGGCCCAAAATATATCTATCGTGATTGTATCTGCATATCGTCTTTACCGGGAGGGGGGGGGGGCAAGACTATGGGATGAGGACGTTTTGACCGAGGTCAACTAACCAACGCCAACAGCCAACAATACAGCATATTCACCACGACTATCGGTGCATGCTAACTAGCATATTAACCTATGTAACACTCTGTATTCGACATCTCTGCTGCATATATTAGTCGGAGTAAATTCGGCTTGAGTCGTCATCTGCTGTCGAAGCCTGCAAGATGCAGCTAAAACTTCCCATCCCATCCCTCGTCCCTAGCTGAGAACGAAGAGGAGTTCCCCCCCAAGTCGACAGTGGCGCTCTAACAAGGCCAATCATGGGGGCATCCCGCTCCATCCCTGGGGCTCGACGATAGTTAAAGCGCCTCTCCTGTCCCCAGAAGGCTGGATGAAGGCCGCTGCCCGACTTCCCGGATCTATCTTCGCACTTCCAGAGTCTTCTTGTGTTGGCTTGGGGGAAAAAGGAAAAAGGAACCCGGAATCGTGGATATAGAACTGGCAGGCAACCCAAGACCCTTCAGGGGCTGGATTTTTAGCTTCGGGCGACCTCGTCTCCTTCGTCTTCGCCTTGGGGGAAACTAAACTATCTTGCCATCAGCC